CTCAAGTGTATCATGGATTTTGCCTCCTAGGCAGTCCTCTCTCCTTCCAGTTCTCCTCCGCAACGTCTTCCCGTGGAGTCTCCTGTAGTTCAGGCACCCTTCCTTCCGACCCTCACCCGATCTATGTTTCTCTTCTAGCTTATTTTTTTTCTCTTTCTTCTAAAATTCGTCTTTTTTGCAGAGACCTTCTGACTGGCGGCTTGTCTCATCCGCCATCTTGGCTCCTCCCCCTAGACCTGTGCTTTCTTATAGGTAATCAGTAGCTGGCTATTGAGCACTTAAAATGTAACTTGTCTGAATTGAGATAGTCTGTAAGTTTCAAATGGCACTGGAATTTGAAGATAGTATGAAAAAGGAATGTAAAATATCTCACTAATAATTCTTTATCTTGATGAAATGTTGAAATAATATTTTGGATATATTGGGTTACATAAAATATACTATTAAAATTAATTTTACTTCTTTCCTTCTACTTTTTTTTGAGACAGAGTCTCACTCTGTTGCCTGGAGTAGAGTGCCGTGGCGTCAGCCTAGCTCACAGCAACCTCAAACTCCTGGGCTCGAGCAATCCTACTGCCTCAGCCTCCCGAGTAGCTGGGACTACAGACATGCGCCACCATGCCCGGCTAATTTTTTCTATGTAGATTTTTAGTCGTCCAAATAATTTCTTTCTATTTTTAGTAGAGACGGGTCTCGCTCCTGCTCAGGCTGGTCTCGAACTCCTGACCTTGAGCGATCCACCCGCCTCGGCCTCCCAGAGTGCTAGGATTACAGGCGTGAGCCACTCCTTCTACTTTTTTAATGTGGCTTTTAGAAAATTTAATGTGTGGCTTGCATTATATTTCTTTTTCTTTTTTTAAACAGTACTTTGAGTTGCTGTTTTAATTGCATTATATTCTATTGGGCAGTGAAGTAGGTATCTGCTCAGAAAAGAGAGGTCCAGGTCTGATTACCGAACTGCTTTCTTGACATTTCCCTTTGGATGTCCAATACCCTCAACAATTCTTCAAAAACTGAACTGAAAATCTTCCCCTCCTTCCAAACTTCTGTTGGAGCCTCTTACTGGTCTCCTCCTACATGTGCTCTTATCCCCCTTTAATTCATTGAAGCCAGAGTGATCTTTGCAAAACACAAATCTGATCTCGTCACTAGCTTCCCACTACTCTGAGGATTAAAACTAAAATTCTCAACCTGTCTTGCAGGGCCCTGCATACACCACCTACCTCACAACTGTTATCTAACACACAGCCCACTCCTGCTCTCCAACCAGTTTCCAGGAGGTGTCCAACTACTTCCTGTTTCAAGACTCTTGCACTTGCTTTCCTTCTATCTGTAATACTCTTTACCCATCTCTTCCCCAACTAACTTCCAATTATCCTTCAGATATTATTGTTAATGTCATTTTTTCAGAGAAGACTTGTCTGGTCCCCAAAACTTTCATTTGGTGGCACTTTATCACAATTATAATTAATAATTTATGTTATCTATTAATTGTGTTTCCTTCCCCAGACAGTAAGCTCAGTTATATCTATTAATATATTGGCTTCCCAATTGGGTAGACCAGTGCCTAACACAGACATTTAATAAATACTTGTTGATACATAAATTTATGAAAAATGAATGAAGAACTACTGAATGAAGCATGGTCATAAAGTGATATCAGTATGTGTTTCTAAAACAAATGTACCAGGTACAAATATGCAAGTAGGTATTGTCTTTTAAATGGTTATTTTTGGAAGCAAATACATTTATTCCAACAAACTACTCAAAATAGTTTGGTAGCCTTATGATATTTGGGATGATCCTGGTACTAGTTTATAACTATGCAAGAAAAAAATAATCATTTTTTTGTTCCTTATTCTAGATTTTATAAAATGTTTTATCACATACCTTATTCATTACACTTAGTTTTGAATGATTTCAGAATTATTATCAAAGAGTATGCTCGAAAGTAGCAATGCCCAATAGAACTTTCTGCAGCAACTGAAATATTCTATGTCTGCACTGTCCAATATAGTAAACATCAGCCACATGTGGGTATTGAGCACTTGAAATACGGCTAGTGCAACTGAGGGACGGAAGTTTTAATTTTATTTAATTATAATTAACCTAAATTTAAAGATCAGCATTTGCTTAGTGGCTGTCAAATGGACAGCAGAGCTTAAAGCCATCACCAGATGACAAGTTTCTAAAATATTCTGCCCCCAGTGTATGCTAGGAATCTTATTAAAATTAGTATATAACCTCGACAAATGGCAGTTTGCATATATAAAATCATATCTTTGTGTAAAATAAATCAGTGGTATTATAAAGATTCACTTCAGAAGCCAGTGACTGTTCTTAAAATACTCATACTTTTCATTTAAAGAATGCCAAAGACTGGCTGGGCGCAGTGGCTCGCACCTGTAATTTTAGCACTCTGCGAGGCTGAGGCAGGAGGATCACTTGAGGTCAGGAGTTTGAGACCACCCTGAGCAAGAGAGAGACCTGGTCTCTGCTAAAAACAGAAAAAATTAGCTGGGCATGGTGGTGCGTGGCTACTCAGGAGGCCGAAGCAAGAGGATCTCTTGAGCCCAGGAGTTTAAGGTTGCAGTGAGCTATGACGATGCCACTGCACTCTAGCTGGGGCAACAGAGCAAGACTCTGTCTCAAAAAAAAAAAAAAGAAAGAAATTCCAAAGACCTTGTTCCATTGTGCCAAGCCAATATAACAACACAGAAGCACAACAGACTTGAAGAAGACCACTGTGAATGACGGAAGGTCATCCATGAACACAAGAATTCACTGGGAACACAGAGCTCAAGTGTATCATGGATTTTGCCTCCTAGGCAGTTGCCCTCTCCAATGATGCAATACTGAACATGTAAAAAGGTCAAATCAAGAAGGAAATCATGTATTTTTGGAACTGGTAAACAAATAGCAGAACCAAGATACCAACTGTGAGTGAAGTTTTGCCAAAAGAACAAACGTTACTCAACATTAAAAGGCAAGAGACCATTTACAATAAGATAGCATCAGCATCTGTTCTGACAAAGGGGCTATTGTACACAGCCCCACTGAGTTGAACTTGACAAAAGGACACTACCCACGCCTCCACTATACAGTAAATGATTTCGGTGGATGGCAAAAGCTTCAGAGGCCTGGCATTTGCATGCATCTTTCCAGGCTCACAGCTCACCATCTTCAAATACAAGAGAATATACTTCTACACATATATTCCAGGGCCTCTGTGGTCAAGTTAACTTCTGGATCTGTCACTGCCCACATGTACATATGTGCTCATTAGCATATTGGTATCATCTGGGCCCTTGTAGATTCGTTTACTGTAATTTCAGTGAAAGTTTAAAATGGTATATATTATTTTTACACCCACCCCCACAAGGCCTTTTGACACAGCCCCCTGCAACCGAGCACCCAAAAAATGGTATATTTATAATATAAATTTATATTTACTATGTGCTTTTTAATTAACAGTTTAGATAAAATAATAACCATATTACAAGATACTTGTGAGCTATTCATGTCTGAAATTTTATTTTGATGAATTGGAAAAAAAGCAGAAATATATCACAGAAAGTTAATGACTTTGATGATATTTAATGATACTAACTAATTTTTCAAATGTAAAAACTTCACAAGAAATCTGCCCATCCATGAATTCATTTTAAATGACCATACTTGACACACGTATGTGTTCTCTGGTTCTTTTTTATAGATTTTGTTGCTTTTTTAATATTTTAGGAGATAAGAACCCTGTCTTCTCTATAATCTTTGACTTCCAAAGTGCTTTATACAGAGCTGTCTAATAAATTGTATTATTTTGATGATAGTGACAATATTGGATAGAGAACAAAGAGTGTAATGTTTCACCCATAATGAAACAATGAATAAGAAGTACATATAGCACTAGAACATAGAATATTGACATAGTATAACACAGATCTAGATGAGGTAAATAAAACGTTCATCTCCGTTAGAGTATCAACAGATACTCTAATGAGTTTGCTGAATAATCATAAAGGCCATTATCTTCCTACCACTAATCAATTCAAGGCATTCCCTCTTGCAGAATGAGCATCTTTTCCGTTTTACTTCCCTAATCCAATGGATATTGACTTGTTCCTGGGCTGCTAGAACCTCAACTCCACCTGTATGCTCTGGTTTACCTTAACTCTCCTTCTCCTGCCCCACTCAGACCCTTTCTTACACACACACACACACACACACACACACACACACACACACACACACACAAGTATTTGACTTACCTTAGCATTTTCTGGCAATGGTTTGTTCTGAGTCAGCCCCACAGCAAGCAAAGCTATCACAGCTATGATAGAGGAGAAGCCAAGGATGGCCAAGATATTTCGGGAGCAAAATCTCTTCACCTCAGAACCTAAAACCAAAAACAGAAGAGAAAATATCAACAAGAAATCAACAAACATTAATTTTTCTCATCTTTCTGTCTGGTCTTATAAAGGCTATCTGGAAACATCAGAGAGATAAAAGCCAACCTTTATGAATGATGCACTTGCAAAGTAATTGGGAAATAATTCAAGAACAAAAGCATTTGTCTGTATTGTGACAAGACGAAGGCTGAGTTAGTGGCTACGGCAAGGAGAATGGACAAAACTAGGTCAGTGATCGGATATGGAATGAGGAGATGGAAGAGTCCCAAACTGGCAGTTTGCTTAATAGGTCATATAGATCTACCAAGGGACAAGAAACAAATAACAAAAAACAAGGACAACTGTCCTCATTTTTAAAATCTACCACAAAATGTTTAAGATGTTAAAAAGTATTAAGAATATATCATCAAACATTAAATCCTACCACACCATGAAATTTCCTGTCTTGACATACCCCTTGCATTTCAATCACCCTTATATAGTAAGCAACTAGTAATAGCCTGGAGGTTGAAGAGTTCTGAACATTTCAGATCATTATCCACATTACCTTATCTATTCTGTCCTTAGTCTTACTCTGTCACAGGACACAAAAAGCTCCAATAGCAGAATTATATAAAAGGAAAAAGTTGCTTTGATCATATATAAACCCGAATATATAGAGGAGGTAAGCAGGAAACAAAATGATTCCACCATTCCCTCCACTCTAACAACTCAATCTCTTCTTCCTCTCTCAACTCTCCAAACTATCCCCAAACTTTTTACTTAGGCTTTATAGAGGAAGGATAAGATAAAGTAACAAACAAGCATATGGAAATGAGATGGGTTTTCCTGAATAATTCGCACTTCTCTAATGACAGTGGGGATGGCGCAGAGGCAGGCGGGGGGAATCAAAACAGGGGAAAGAGGAGTCCAAGTCTCTCCCTTCTCTTTCCCTCTTGGTCAGTAGCAGCTTGCTGGGCACTGAAATGGGAGCTCCTCCTCAAGCTCTTGAGCAGAAGCTTAGACAATCTAAAGGACTGTAACTGTATATAGGTCTCCAGTCTGCCTAAACGCCTAGAATCTTGAACCAGTTTTTACCCATCAGACCAAACAGTACAAAACTTCCAAGAAAGAATTTTAGCAATACCATTATCTATTGCACTTCCACCCTTCTCCCTCCCCAAAAGAGCCTCCATTTTGTTCAGATGACTGAATCTCCCCCAAGCTTAGGGGAGAAAAGAAAAGAAGTACATAAATGAGTGATTTCCGGTCATGAATGAGAAGTGCCAAGAAGAAATTAAAACCAAGGAAGATGATAGGGTGACTTAGAGCAGAGTTGGGGATGAAGGGAAGGATTTTAGATTGAGGGTCGAGAAAGCATCTCTGAGAAGATAACATTTGATTGGAAACCCAGATGAGGAGAAAACACCAGCTAGGAGAAGGAGTAAGAACACTCCGGGAAGAAGGAACAGAAACTGCAAAAGCCCTGAGGTGGGAACCAGCTTGATGTGACTATAATTGTTCTCTCCTTTTCCTAATGAGAATATTTACTAACTCCTTATTTTCACTGAAGAGTTGGATGTATACTTTTCCACATTTGCCCAACTTTTGCAATGACATTCACACTACTAGAATATATTGAAGCCTCCCGTATTATTTCTTATTAAAGATACGATAAGGAAAAGAACTTACATCAGAGAGAAAGTTTAGGAATTTTGCATACAGTATTTTCAAAAGGTTTATTACAAAAAAAAAAATGGCTGTTTGTTTTTCATGTAATTAACTAGATTACCCAGACAGAAGTAATTAAAATGCTTTGTCCATGGACTACATGACAGGCAGTTTCAAAAGCCTTAATCACATGCAGGGAGCAGGACTCTTCTCAGGAAGTGGTGCTAGAGGTGGGGTGTCCAGGTTGACATCTTCAGGGTGTGCTCACAAAAAGGGAACCGCTTCAGTAACTGCCCCCTCTACTTGGGCCCCAAGAGCTCTTTCAGATCTCATGACTGCTACAGTCATGTTCTATTATCGAAAATTCACACTGACAGTTTTCCCCCTGAAAAGCCCTTCGTTTGCCTCACGGATAACAGAAGTGTGGTTTCTATAATACAATATGAAATGCTATTTCAAAAAACAATTTTAAGAAACAAGTTTACCAAAAATATACAATGGCAAAGTGTTGTGTTTTTTTTTTCGTTTGAATGGGCTCACTATACTGAAGAATTTAAGACTGCCACTTCCTTCCCATTTTTTTCTTTTCATGTGATAAGTGAGAGGGCTTTTCTGTTTAAAGTGAGAGAGCTAGGTAGTACTTTCAACTCTTCACTTGACAGAGAGACAAAATTGAAGAAAACTCAAGCTTTGAGTAAACGCAGACCGATTTCAAGCCAATTAGCTATGTTAGAAGCAAAAAAAAAATCTAGCTCTTTTGATTCTTATAGAAACAGCAATCATGACGTCCGGTTAGAATCCTATCAAAGTGAAAATCAAAATTCTTTAATTTTTCCTCAGTCAGAATGCTGCTCTACAGAGAAATCCTAGCATCTCTACTTCATGATACCAAAAATATATTATCCTAAAACTTTACTGCAATAATAAACACATTTAGGGTATTGACAAACATGGTGAATTTCAGACAAAAACAACAAAAGTTTTGCTTTGCAGATCCAGTGCAACCGACTAGATTCAAATTGTTTCCAATTTCTGATGGGTCACATCTGGACTAAGCTTAGCTTGCCATATACAGAACAAAACAGCAAATGTGGACAAGCACTGGCGAGTAAACATTGGAGGAGCTCCATGGTCCTTCCCGTGTTTACACAGCCCAGTGATGGAACAATCACTGAAGCTAACTCAGGAGACTGGTCCTAATTTGGCCTTGCCATTCCCCTGGTGTCAAAGTCTCCACACTATCTCTGCCACCTTCCTTGCTCTCCATCATGGAGTTCTTGGGGACACTTATTTAGGTTGTTCTCACACTCAAGAGTTTTAAGATCCTTTCTTGACTGGTTCATCCCAGGCCCTTTAGACTCACCTTCTTTTATAGTGATATCCAACCCCCTGTTCCAGTCATTGCTACCCATATCTGATCTTCAACAGCCTTTTCTGGTGACTCCTACCCTTCCTAATTCTTTTCCCTATCAAAACCTATCCTTCATGTAGCTGCAGCAATCTTCCATAATTGACATTCCTAAGGGTCTTCCTGATTAAGAACCTATAGTAGCTTCCTGCTGCCTGTCAGATGAAAGCTACATTGGTCTACGCAGACCTCTTAGCCCTTCCCACCTCACTGCTCCAATGAGCAGATCTGTTTGTGTCCAAGATCAGAATGCCTGACATTATCACCACTAAAATGTAGGCTCCCTGAGTGCCAGAACATTTTTTTTTGTCTTGTCCATTGCTATAACGCATGTTGAATGAATGAATGAATTCTAGATTCTCTGAATTTTTTTCTATGTGAGATTTCCTCCACTTGGAATTCCAATCCCCTCATTCTCCATCAAATCTTTTTCTTTGTCTTCTTCAAAATCAAGCTCAATAGGAGGCTATGTTCCCCTCCATATTCATCAAAGCTCAATTATTCCAGTAGTCCTCTCTACATTTGCTACCTCTAGACATTTTATAGTTTGAATCATTTCAGTTTGGGAGTTCTATAGTTGGACAGGGAGCTGTGCTTCATTCATTCTTTCAATTAGTCATTCAATAATTATTTTTTGAATGTATTATACTTTTATTATGTACTAAACCTGTCCTAGGCTCTGAGCTATAGTAGTAAACAAAACAGATTAATGTCCCCATCCTCATGGTGCTTATATTCTAGTTTGGGAGAAAAGACAATAAAGAAGATAAATAAGTAAAAATTATAGTTTGTTAGATAATTATAAGAGCTAAGAGAGGAAAAACAAGAAAGGTGAAGAGGAAGGATGGGGTGATTAGGAAGGGCCTCTCTGAGAAGGTGATCTTGATAACAGTCTAGGGAGCAGAGAGAAAGCATGCACAACTCTGAGGCAAGAGCACTTAAGGCAACTGGAACTGCACATGGAAAGGCCCTGCAGTCGGACAGTGCCTGGCCAGGAGGCCAGTGTGGTGGGAAGAGTGATGAGGGGAAAGTCGTAAGAGATGCTCAGAGGAGTTACAGGTTGCCTTGCTCAAAAGGCCTTGAAGGTCCTAGTGAGGGCTTTGCCTTATTCTGAGTGATCTGACTTATGTCTAAAGTCATTTGTATAATCTGTGCCCAGAACCTTAGGGGTGAACAAGGAACCAGCATGCTTGTTGAAGTCCCTGGAGAGTGAGGGTGTGGTCTTTTAGGGCAGCACACCCCTGCCTCTTGAGGTGATGAGGTGCTGAGGCTACTCCAGGGACATCAGACCACACAGCCAAGTGTGGACAGAGCCTGGCTCCATCAAAGCAGTGCTTGTGCCAAAATAGGGATAGGCAGATGCATCCAGGAAGAGTAAACACAGTCATATGAGGTGGTCTTCTCAATACCTTCTGGACTTCTTGGTGGCTCACCACTGGGAGTCTCTGGTGAGAGCATCATCAGGAAAGGTCACCAAACCAACAGTTACCAGGATCCATCAGCAGAAAGCCAAACTCCACAGACTTCTGGGGGATGGTTCAAGGGAGAGCAGAGTCCAGACAATCTTACCTTTGCTTAGACTCTTTAAGCCTCAATTTCTCCATGTTCAAAATGGGAGTCATAATAGTACCTACTTCACAGGGTTGCTATGTAAGTTTCAATAAGCTAATAATACCTAATAGGCTACACTTGCAGAGCTCTTACTGTATTCCAGATTCTACTCTTAGTACTTTAAAAATAGCCACTAGTTTACCCTCATTACCATCCTGTGAGGTAGATGTACTATTACTAACATCTGTATAAAATCTGTATTAGTTTCCCAGGGCTGTCACAACAAATAACCATAAACTTGATGGCTTAAAACAACAGAAACTTATTCTTTCATAGTTCTGGAGGCCAGAACTCTAAAAATAAAGGTGTTGGCAAGGC